TTCAGGGAAGGGTCCATTATCACGCCCAGATTAGTGACTCTTTGTGTTTCTGACAGGGTTAGAGCGGAGAGGTCGATGCAGTGGTTTGTGATTGTGTCGTTGGGAGGGAACAACATGACTTCAGACTTCTTTTCATTGAAACTTAAGAAATTTAAAGCCATCCAGTCCCTGATGTCAGCCAGGCAGTCGAGCAGAGGTTGAATAGAGCATGTACCATTGTGTCTTAGGGGGAAGTAAATTTGACAGTCATCGGCATAGAAGTGGAAGGGCATGTTGTGTTTCCGGAAAATAGCACCAAGCGGCAGCAAGTATAAAGAGAATAGGAGGGGACCCAGGATGGACCCCTGCGGAACCCCCCATTTAAGCTCTGCCTCTGCGGAACTAAAATCCTTGATGGAGACACAAAAGGATCTGTCAGTGAGGAAACATCTGAACCAATTGAGGGCTGATCCTGTGACGCCCACCCACCGCTCCAACCTAGCAATGAGGATCTCATGGTCGATGGTGTCAAAGGCGGCTGTGAGGTCCAACAGGACAAGCAGCACAGAATCACCGGTATCTGTGAATCTGAAGATGTCGTTAAAGACCTTCAGCAGGGCAGTTTCAGTGCTGTGGAGAGGTTTAAAGCCAGATTGGAAAAGCTCTAAGATGGCGTGATCCTCCAGGAAGCACTTCAACTGGGACTCGACTATTTTCTCCAGTACTTTAGAAACAAATGGGAGTTTGGAGACAGGCCGGTAGTTGGATACGACTGAGGGGTCAAGGTTTGGTTTTTTTCAGGAGAGGCTGGACGGCAGCATGTTTAAAGGTTTTTGGCACCACGCCAGTGAATAAACTACTGTTTACTATATCAAGAATGGACGGACCTAGAGTTGGAAACACCTCCTTTAGTAGTCGAGGGGGGACCACATCAAAGGGGGAGCCAGAAGGTTTCAAGCTGCACATGACCTGCTCTAGAGAAGATAGAGTGATGGGTTCAAAATGGTCAAATGGAGCTACAGATTGAGGTGGGATGGATGGGTCATGAGTTGGAGGGGGAATGAGAACCCGGGTGGTCGCAATTTTTTCCAAAAAGAAATGTAAGAAGTTGTCGCACAGCTCAGTCGAGGCTTCCAGAGGTGATGGTTCAGTGAGGTGGCGAACAGAGTTTAGGGTGGAGAAGAGGAGACGTGGGTTGTGAGAGTTTGAGGTAATTATATCAGAGAAGAATTTTGATTTAGCAGCTTTTACTGCTTTCTGATAATGGCACCAACTCTCTTTAAGTATCTGGAAAGAGACCTGCAGCCTGTCTTTCCTCCACTTTTGTTCCGCCCTCCTACATTGCTGCCTAACGGTCTTGGTGACGTCACTCAGCCAAGGTTCTGCTTTGATTTTTGATTTTTTGGTTTTAACAGGTGCGACATGATCCATAGTCTTTAAGCAGACAGAGTTGAACTGGGATGTCAGCTCCTCAGTGGTGGTGAGAAACACTGGGGCCTGAATTATCATTTCAGAGTTATAAACATCTGTGAAACGTGCGGCAGTGAAGTGGTTAATGGTCCGAGTCCTATGTGCAGGAATGCACGACTTAGGAGTTAGATGGGGGAGGATGAACTCAAACCGGACTGGCATGTGGTCTGAGAAAACATTATCACCAATAACAAGATTATTAAAAGTCACATCATGAGTTAAAACAAGGTCCAGTGTATGTCCACACTCTTGGGTGGGACCGTTTACATGCTGAGTTAGATTAATTGAGTCCAATAGATCTAAAAAGTCCTTAACCAAGGGCTTCTCCTGACAGCACACGTGCAAATTAAAGTCCCCAATAATGCAAACATGCTCATATTTTGGTGTGATTTCAGCCAAGAAGTCAGAAAACTCATTTATGAAATCCTTAGACCGAGGTGGGCGGTAGACGAGTGCAAATAACGTCGCAGGTGAATGTCCGAGTTCAAAGACGCTCGGCTCAAAGCTGGCGCAGGAAACTGGGATGGGCAGTTGTTTACAGTCAACAGTTGATTTGAATGTTGTTAATAATCCACCACCGCGCCGGCCTGATAGCCGCGGTGCGTTAAAATGCAAACAGTTCGGTGGCAGTAATTCCGACAAGGCGCTGGACTCACCCGGAGACATCCAAGTCTCTGTGATGCACAGAAAGTCCAAATCGTGCTCTTGAAAGTAATCCCTGAGGATAAAAGTTTTGTTGGTAACAGATCTTGCGTTGACCAAACACATCCGGATTTTGTACAAAGTAGAGCTAGCAGCGGTGGACTTGGCGCGCGCTAATGGCCGCAGGTTTTGAATAACAGCCCTCCAGGTTGGTCCGAGCTGTGCAACGGCCGACAACTCGTGTTGGTTACCTGGTCCGGGCACACAGGAGAGGAAGATGCAGCGCGCAGAGCTTTCAGCTTCACCAGCTGACCAGCACGTTTTCCCCGGCGTCTGAAGCGTTATCTCCGGGCAGGCAGGTGAGGAGCGCAGCGAAGGTAAGCTGGCACGTCCGCCAGCAGGGGGGGAGGAGGGGGGGTTCCAGAGGTACGCTGATAATGGTCCAAATAAGCGACTTCAGTGACAGAAAAACGAAGATTCAAAAATTGTTGTATGTCATACACCAGCAGAGTTGATGTCACAGATGTGAAATGCAAAAAACAAAAATAATCCGAACACCATCAGCAGAGGTGGATTGCAAGCCATGTACACGGGCGCCATCTTACCGGAAGTCTAAGATAGCACACTGATGGCTGTTTACTATTCACAGGGGGTTGAGTGATACTAGCAATAACAGCATTGTAAGAGGGGGACAGTTGAACCAGGAGGCTCCACCCCTGTTTAATGATGGACGATTTCTTTTCACAAATATGGCCTCCTTTAAGCCTCCAGTATGCTCCCGCATACGTCCGTTCACGTGTACGTACGCATGTACGTACGCAGAGGGTTCAGACATGATACTCCAGCGTCCACCTTGAGCAGCTGCTGAGCAGCTTCACAGACCAGGGGCGTTGACCTTCGGGACAAATTGAGGTCGCCGATTGGTCATTTGCTGACACGCCTACTGGATTGATTGACAGGTCGAGGGAAAAAAACAAACTAGCACTGGCAGCCTCAGCCACAGCGATGTTCTGTGTTTATATGTTGTTAATAAAAATATCTAAAAAATAAATAAATAAAACAGGGAGCGCTGGCCCTGCAGCCCACACTTCAGACCAGTCCACCAGGAAATCTCAAGAACCCTCCCGCAGCCACGCTGGATTTGAGTTTAATTTGCTCGTGACAAATTCCTTCATTTCTCACCATTTCAGTCATGGCATCAACGGAGGAAGAAGAGATCACTGCCTCTTGTCAAAAACACAACAGAAAAGGCCAGATCAGGGATGAAGAAGGGGAATTTAATACATTGGTGTCTCATACAAAACAGTCCGTCGCTG